ATATATTTTTCCTTAAAATTTATAATTAAAATTTATACATAAAAAATTGTTCTCAAATTATTATTCATTTTGACCATGTTAACCTATTCTAATTCCTTATAGATTCGGAGAGCATATCAATCTTTCCGTCTTTCTTGAAGTTGCAGAGTTTTATCTTTAATTTAATTAAAGTACTAAATTCTCAAGAAATATATATTCTTACCCAGTATGTCCTATGAGATAGGTAGTTCATCTCAGTTAGCTGAATTTGAGGATTACTATATAATCAGGACTATCAGATTATGATTAGTGTCTATAATAAATCAGGGGTCACATGGCATATAGTACAGACAGAAACATGTTTCATGTTTGTCCTAGGTACTTGTTCACCTTAGTTGACACAAAACTCCATAAACTTGCTAAAAGGTAGTAGTACACTTACTATGTCTATGAACGAGATTATAGTAAGCCTGCCTATTTTTTAATAAACTTTCATTGTTAACCAGCTGCAAAGGTCTTGCTTGTTGCAATAAACAAAGCACAAACATTCTCTAAATATTCAAACAATTCCACTTGACAGCCCCACTTACTTGACCATAGTTCAAACACTTTCTGTGATTTGTCTCACATTGTAATGCTTTTATCTCACCCCTAACTCTAAGGTTAATAATTAAAGCAAAAATAAACCCCATATGATAAGATATTTGATTAATAAATCGGTTATTAAATATAAAGTAAGATCTTCAAGGTTCAAAAGAATCAAATCACTAATTGATATTATCCTCTAATACGCAAACTAGATATCTTAGATTATAAGATGGTGATTAGACTTAATTTGGTAATATTGATTTATAATTGTAATTGTTAATTTTTTAATCTTTTAATATTATAAAAATATAAAAATATATTTAATATTTATTTTAATTAATATTTTATATATTTTAATTAATAAAAATATAAAATTTAAAAATTAAGATATTGAAAAATATTCTCAAACAAAACTATATGTAAAACATTAATTATTAAATAAATGAGTCAAATTTATTACAAGAAAATCCCTCTAAAGTTAATATTGGTCAATATATTATAATTTAATACAATTTAAATTACAAAATATCTTTTTTCTTTCTTTCCTCTAACACAAAATCAACCTTTCATGCCCCTGCAAAAAATGATCCAAAACAAATTAACTTATTCAAAACTTGTTTTGGGTCCTCTCATTCATGTATGAAGTAACAACGCCATTAAAAAAAGTGAAAAGAGGAAAAGGCTCTGAGGTTCTGAACCTCCTGGTCCCATAAGGAAATGAAATGAAAAGAGGAAGATGACGTATTCAGGCACGCCTCCATGCTTAAACAAAAACAACTCCTAATACTGTGCAAATTGAAACTCCCCTATTTCTTACTTGTGGTAAATCAAAAACCCAACAAAATTGGCTGCCAAATCTGTCACCCTCTCTATTCTTTGTCTCCCCTCTTTCCCAGAACAAGGGACAGCATCAGTTGAATCACCTGCGTATGCATAGAAATTGTCTACTATGTACACCTGCTATCCACCTTTTGTTTTGGTCCCACTTGATGTCGTGGACGAGGTCCAAGTCCAATGGTTATGACTGAGGAAATTAACTGGGAGCGAGATTAGGAGATTTGAAGATTTGTCCAGTCTCAACTGAAGGAGGACTCCTCTTGTTTCCCATTCTAGTGGGAGACCATATGAATGGGTAAAGGTCCAAAGTTTTGTCTTAGGTATTTCATTTCTTGGTCACTTTGAAGTGGTGCTAAGTTAAAGAACTTAGTAAGGTTAGTATCACTAAGTAAAATTTTTTAATTCGGTATTAAGGTCACGATTTAAACTTTTGCAATACTAATTAGTTAACATTTTATATAAAAAGAAGTATTAATTATGAATATATAGTTTTACAATTTGAACAAAACTAAAATACAAAACAAAAATCATTGAGGAAGGATCATCTCATATATTTAAAGATTTCACCTTCCATCTAACATGATTTATGTTCTATAGTCTAGTCGTTTCCAATCAATTACTTTAACCTATTGTACTGACTGGACTGTTGTAATTGGCATTCCCCAATAGTATCCTTTTCTGAGTCTGAATTATTGGGGTAATATCAAAAATGCTACGCGATTGTTTACCAATTTGGCCCACACATAGCTAAATTTGTCTCCTCTATTCTGCCCAAACATATGTAAAATCTTGTACAATGCAGCTTTAGGTGTCTAGTTTGAGGCCTCTTTACGAGTGCAAGGCTGTCCAATTTTATTCACTGGGCATGCCAAATAGTTCCCCCCAGTGTTTTTTCAAAAGACCAAACATCTTCACACCAAAAACACACACACACATCTCAATTGAGGGCATAGTTAAAGATGTCGGGATGTAACCTGAAGAAAATTGGGTGAGTATGTGTGTGTTTGTTTCAATTGTTAGGTATTTTAAAGTCAATTTGCTAATATTTTGAAGTTAATTTCTATTTACACCCATTTTTGTAAATTAATTAGAAGAAACCACGTGTCTCATTAGTTTTAAATTTAAAAGAGTCAAGAGTTAGTAGTTGTAGTCTTATCTTCAAATCAGCTTAGATGATTATTACGATATAGTTAGCAGATTAGTTAGTTTGTTGCAAATCTTCAACATATTGCCACTAATTTTTAGGATTTCATTGCAACTCTACATCTTACTATTGTTAATTTAGGAGGTTGTTGTAAATTTTATGCTGTTGTTGGTTTTTAAGATATTGCTAGCAGAACTCCAGTATGCTGTCAAGGTGTTATAAATACTCGACAATAAGATCAAACAAGCAAGATCTGCCTCTCACACAACTAGTCTAGTATTATTTACATTCAATTTTCTCAAGCAATGTTTTATTCTAAATCTAACTTTTTCGAACAGTTTTCTTAATTTAGTCTTTAACTCTACGTTACTATTAGTTTTAGCTCTTGTTTTTGTTATTTTATTTTGAACATCTCTACTAATGTATTTCATTTCCTGTAATTCTATTTATTGTACTTTGCTTTAAGTTCATCTTCCTAGCTTCCTTTAAATTTAATTTTATATTTTAGCCTTTATTTTATTCTTTACACTTGTATGTTTTCATTGTAGCATCACACTTCTTCCCTGCAATTTAATTTTCCTACCATGCACTCTCTTTTGTTTTCCCTTTTATCTTGATCAACAAACTAACGTTTTAACCATAGTTGTGGGAAGTCATTGATATTATTTCAAGACAATTATTTGTGGACCTTTATATAAAAATACACCATCATTTTTAGGACAATCATCTAACCAAGACACATATTATAATCTATTTAACTAGCGCTTTTTCATTGACTTCAAGTTTCACACTTGAAAGTAATGAGGGTTATCATAAATCATTTTTTCTCACTTTAAGTAAAGTCAGTGGCACACCTTTATAATCCTATTTGTCACATAGCCAAAAACAAAGATCTTAAAGACAACAATTTCATTTTAAATAATTTGAAGGCACACCCTTCATATTAATATTAATGACTCAATGTAATTAAGAAAAATAATTTACAGATACAAACCCTAAAACTTTACCCCAAGTGTATAACCAAAAAGGAAAAAAAAAAAAAATTGCAGCCAAGTATGAAGTGAACGTTGTTTCGTGTGGACATCTAAAACAACCGAATTAAATGAATAAATGCAGAAGAAAAATGTGTCATAATCGTGGATGTTAACCAATGTCCCCGTCGTGGGCTTTCCTTATCTTTCAACCGAAAGAAGGCGGCCCATGTAATTAAATACAATAGTCCAGATAATGGGATATTTCTTATCCTTATCATTTTTTTTTCTTATGTCATATGATAAGAGTACTTAACATAGAATAACCTCCCGTTTTGTGTTATATGATCCTCTACAAACTGTATATTTTTTAACTATTAACCGGGAGGGTATTTTTAATATCAAATGCATCGTCTTTCTATTTTTTTTATTAACTTTTAAATATTTGATAATCATATTAAATCTCAATTAATTTAAAATCAAATCAAGTCAAATTTTATTATGAAAAAACTCTCTCAACGTTTGTTTCTTTATTTATGAGATTTAAATTTAAAATTTTATTTAAAAAAAATTGAATTCTTTCCATTCGAACCAATAAATTATTAGTACATCATTCTTCTATTAAAATATATAAAAGTGCAATTCACCTCATTTTTTTTTTGTTTTATTGAAGAACTATTTTGATCTAATAATTTGAAATTAATATTTAGTAAATTTGTGCAATTTAATAATTAATAATAATAATTTATTTAAATATTTTTATTTATTGAATTAAATAAAATTATTAATTATTAATTTTAAATTGTTCAACCAAAGAATCTTTTAAACTTTATTTTTTTATTTTAAAATAACTATTATTTTTTATCTTTTTTTCAAATTAAAAATTTAAGAATAATATTTATACTTATTTATAATATCTTTTAAAAATAAAAAATTAAATTAAATAATTAATTACAATAAATAAAGAATAATAAAATTAAAATAAATTTTATTTATTTATTTTAAAAAAGAATAATAATAAAACGTCCGTTGTTATTTTAAGTTGAAAAAAATTTCTTAATGACTCTAATCATACCCAGCAAAGTCTCCATTTCATAGTTGCCCAAAAAAGAAAACGACTCTGTTTCATTTTCTGTAAATAAACACGGTAAAAGGAAAAAGGAAAAAGGAAAAAGATTAATTTACCGCACAACATTCACACCATTATCAAACAAAGGACAACCAATCACTGACGAGCACGTTACTCCATTCTACGATGGATCAAAACCAGCCGTTCGATTTACGCGCGTGTATCACAAATCCCCAACTCCACTCTCTCTCTCTCTCTGTATCCATTTTCCACTCCTACCCTCGTCGTACTCGACGAAATTACTAATTTAACCCTAAACAGAACAGACATTACGGCCACTCTGCTTCCCACTGCCGCCAGTACCATCACTACGCTCCCTCTATAAAGCAGCCGCTCCTGCCTCCATTTCTCCCTCTCAAGCTCTCCCTGATCATCTGCAGTCAGCACCAGCTATTTCTCCGGCGAATTGACAACAGAGAAAGGAGGAGGTTAAGAATGGATAAACCTGTACTCGAGCCGTGGAGACCAGAACTGGTTCTCTTCCGGCCGCCGGAGACTCCTCGGGAGCCGATGGAGTTCCTGTCCCGTTCTTGGAGCATCTCGGCTCTAGAAGTTTCCAAAGCTCTGACCCCATCGCATGTATCGCAAATGCCGCTGAAGGGCTCTTCCAGCGGCTGCGTCATACAGGAGGATGTGGCTGGCGAGCTCGAGGCTGAAGGCGCCACGGTTTCTGGAAACCCTTTCTCCTTTGCTTCCTCTGAGACTTCGCAGATGGTGATGGAACGGATCATGTCACAGTCGGTAAGTTTAGAACTGCATATCAAGACAAGGTCCGAGGAAGGACCCAACTCTGTGTTTAACGTTTTCTCCTTGTTTGCTTCTTTCTAAATATTGTTTCTGTCTGTATTTAATCTGGGTGCTTTCTATATTTCTTAGTGTTTTTGCTTCTTTCATTGTTTGTCCATGAAAACTTTGTTTCTTTCTCCATTTTCTTGAGGAATTCGAAACATTTCTCATTTTTTATGGGTCCTTAATAATCATTCACTTCAATCAATTGCTTTTATTTTTATTTCCTTTTCCATTTTATCTTAAAAATCAAATCTTTTTTCTTAGCAGCAGGATGTATCTCCACGCACTTCAGGTAGGCTCTCACACAGCAGTGGCCCACTCACCGGAGCCGGCTCCTTAACAGACAGCCCACCGGTCTCTCCCTCCGATATTGACGATGTTAAGGTTAGTTTCAGTTCCATCTTCTCCCGGCGATTACGTTGTCTGAATCCGACACCAATTTACATGATTACTTTGTGGGTCTATGCTCTGTTTTTGGGTTCACTGAGCAGAAACAAGTTCTCCAGGCTTTCTCTCTACCCAACGCCCCCTTTAATCAAAACCCAGATGGCGATACCATTATGTGTTTCTGTTTCACTGTCTTCAATGAAATTTAAAAAAAGAAAGTTGATTTCTTTCTGATTCGAAATTTCCTTTTTGTTTGCTTCCACTTCACTGAATTTGCTCTCTCCACTACTTTCCACTAAAATTTCCGAATTACCCTTGTCTGAGTTATACGAGGGAGTGCGTTGGTCCCCCTGGAAAGGATTGGTTAAGGTGCAGACGGCCAGAAGGCAGCTTTAATGGCATCCATGGATGGACCCCAAGAAAGCTTGTTTTTTAATAATGGTGGTTAGGCGGGTGAAAGCGTAATACCCATCGGCTTTTCTTGTATTTACTTTTTGTCGGATTTTGATTAATTAATTTACGTATGGATTAGGAATTGGAGACCCGATTTAGAAAATTCATGATGAAATTTACTGACAAAATTTTATCGGTGCAGCAGTTTTGCCGGGCCAACAACCCGCCAAGTTCGCAGTACCGGACGGCAACCACCCCGTCTCTGACGTCGGTTGCTGGTGGTGGGAAGACGGTTGGGAGGTGGTTGAAGGACAGGAGGGAGAAGAAGAAGGAAGAGACACGTGCTCATAATGCCCAGCTCCATGCGGCTGTTTCTGTGGCTGGAGTTGCCGCTGCCGTGGCGGCTATTGCGGCTGCCACAGCCACTTCCTCGAGTTCTGGGAAAGACGAGCAGATGGCCAAGACGAATATGGCTGTAGCTTCGGCGGCCACTCTTGTGGCGGCGCAGTGCGTGGAGGCTGCAGAGGCCTTCGGTGCTGAGCGAGAGCATTTGGCCTCCGTCATAAGCTCTGCCGTCAACGTCCGATCAGCCGGTGATATCATGACTCTAACCGCCGCAGCAGCAACAGGTATATAACCATCATTTACAGATTTCTGCTCTCTCCTTATTTTGACAAATTAATTGAATGGAATTGTTTAAAGATCTGGTCTTTCTTTTGTCCTCTCCTATGGTAGCACTGAGAGGAGTTGCCACCCTTAAGGCAAGGGCATTGAAGGACGTTTGGAACATAGCAGCTGTGATACCGGTGGAGAAAGGTGGTGGAAATGTCAGCAACGGAAGCTCCAATGGTAGCTTTAGTGGAGAGCTTGTACCAGAGGAGAATTTCTTGGGAATTTGCAGTAGGGAATTGCTTGCTAGAGGTTGTGAGCTCCTCAAACGCACCCGCAAAGGTAAATTTGAATGTATCATTTTGCTTAATTTGCTAAATTTGCAATGAATTGGTGGGGGTGGGGCCATATTCAGAAGAAGTTAAAATTGTCAGACCTGCTATCTATTTAGCAGATTCTTTTCATCAAATAATGAATGCTTTGTGCTTAATTTGTAACGTATTGATGGGGCAAATTCAAAAGTTGCCGAAATTTTCATACCCAGAAGCGAATTAGCATGTGCCTTACTTCATATAATGGAGTCACAATGTATTATGTGGTTGGATAGAATATGGAGCAAATATGGGATAGTTGTCCTTTTCATCAGTGAAATTATTCTACTTTGGTGTATATTATTAGGTGGAATGGAGACAGTTTTGGTTATGTCAGTGTTCTGATCTTTGCAGGCGATCTTCATTGGAAGATAGTCTCTGTTTATATCAACAGAATGAACCAGGTATGATTTCTGTTCTTCAAAGAAAAAGTTTGTTTTATATTTCATGAAAGATCAAATCACACAATTATTCGGGCATCTATTGTTGCTTTAGATGATGATGTGATGAGTGTGAACCTAGATGAGTAAAAGTTTCTGAACAAAAGAGAAAAATGCTATAGTCTGAAGAGATAATCTTTCTTTCTTGCCCTTTTGTTCTTTGTTTTGCATTCTTTAATTCCTTTAGAACTCTTCTTTGTGCAGGTTATGTTGAAGATGAAGAGTAGACATGTTGCTGGGACCATCACAAAAAAGAAAAAGAGTAAGTGTGCGATTACCTTTTTCTTTCCCTAATAATGTGAAAAACACAAACGGATGTGGGACTTGTTCCGTTTGGGGATTTGAGAAAGCTATTGGCACTAAAGCAAAAGAAGATCAAAAGGGTTTGTCTTTGAGACTTTAACCTTTCCCTTTTTGAAATTTCTTGTAGATGTGGTTTTGGAGGTGATCAAAGATGTGCCGGCTTGGCCCGGCCGCCACTTACTTGAAGGCGGGGAGGACCGTAGATACTTTGCGTTGAAGACAGTGATGCGAGGAGTCGTAGAGTTTGAGTGCAGGAGCCAGAGAGAGTATGATATCTGGACTCAGGGTGTGTCAAGACTCCTCTCTATTGTCGCAGAGAGGAACAACAGGCATAGAATTTAGGTTTTGGACTGCAGTTAGTAGAGAAACTCTGCAGCCAAATGGGATACACATTGGGGTAAAGTAGAACCAATGCCTCTATGAAACATAGTAGTTGATTTTGGAAGGGTTTCATGAGGTTGTTCTTTTGGTTGTAAAAAAAAAAAAAAAAGTGTTGAAATCAAAAGATAAATTATCCAAGTGGGTGTCTTTTAAATTTTATGGGGGGGAATTGTGTGCTTGTTTTTGGACTGTAAAGAGTAGCTAAAGTGACTTGAATCCCAAAGAAACCACAACAATCCCATGTGATCCCAAGTATGTTGTTATTTCACTGTTGAGTAAAGGAAAAAAAGAGGTACCTTGGACTAGGAGTCTGGGATGGTCAAAAAGAGAATGAAAGGAATCCCATTTTGGAGAAGGAATAATATTGTGGAGGATGATAAAGACACTTCCCTGATTCAATGTTGGCTGATCTTTTTGTCTTGTAATTCAACTTTGGCTCTTGGATTTAGGTGAAAATATGATTGCATTCACTAGCAATGTTCCACTGTGTATCATAGTACTATAATTTATATGATTATATCTGGCTTTGATTAAATTAATCAAGAGCCAATGATATTAGTATAGTATATAATAGTGAAAGCATCAAATGGAGAGTGAGAAACCAGTTGTGCGAGGAATGTTCTGAGATCTGGATGAAATAACTCGAATATGTTCGCTCGGTTGTTATTTAATTTAAGTTATTGTTTGCTTTGTTAGTGACAAACCATCCTTTTTGGAATGTTGTATGGGTTCGGGTTGGAGGAGGATGACCTCTGAGATCATTCTTATTTGGTTGGGGACCACTAATTGTGCCAACAATGAATGGGGCTTTTACTACTCTGAATTTTTTCGGCTCAGAGAGAATTTCATAGATAAAAAGTAAAAGATGCACAATCATACCAAAATTAAAATGGGTTAAGTTAAAAGATCTCGATTAAGGAGATGGTTAAGGACATCTGGGATGGAGTTCCAGCTAGAATCATCAGAGCTAGGATCATCGGATGTGGGAGGATGTTCTGCTTGTTCTACTTTAGAGGAATAAGTTGGGGAACTTTGCACTTCATCATGTTTGGGCCAAGACAAGGCAAAAAATAAATCGCTTTGCCTCTATTAGATAATTTAAAGTTATGTTAACATTATTAGATTCAAACTTATAAAAGGATAACTTAATGATAAAAAATTTAAAAATTTAACGTTAAAATTTGAATTTTGAGTCAAATGAAGAGAGGTTAAGAAAAAGAAAAAAGTTATTCTCTCTTATATAATCCATCATTATTAAATGTATAAAAAAAATAAAAATACTATTAGATTCAAAAAAAAAAAAAAAAAAAGAAAGAAGAAGAAAAAGAAGATATGCTAACACTCTTAAGTTGGAATTTGAAAATCATAAATCTATAATGAATAAAAGATCTACTTGCCAGTGTGATATAAATTATCAGCCTATTAAACTCATGAGTTCTATTCATTTACAATCCTAATAACCCATTTTGGGGCAAAAAAGAGAGATGTAGTATTCATGATTACTTATGGTGGAGAAACTCCACCGGAACATTCATCAATGGCAAAATGAATCCCTTTAGGAATCAGCATCACTGTTGATGAGTAAAGAAAGGATATTGACGAAAAGGTTGACAATGTCAAGGTAAAGACTGATTGCAGCAAGGACGTACTGGTCGTAGGTATAATTCTTGATCAACTCATTAGTGTCATACACTATGTAACCACAGAAAATGAATGCCCCAAGGAACCCGTATATCATCAGCGATACCTTTCCCATACGAAAGAAAGCCTGTCCATTGAAAAGGGGACATGAATCAGTTATAAGCAAATCGAAAAAAGAGAAGAAAATCCATTTAGGAAGGAGGCACAAACCAGGATGAGACCAAAAGCAATGAGCATAACCAGAGATGAAAAGAGAAAAGGTCCAAGAAAGCTGAAATCATGCCCCCTCCTCACTGCCCAGAATGTGTAGATTGTAAGGCCAACAACTGCAACGCCAGTTAGGATTACGGCCTCGAGAATGATCTTGCCTGCCAGTAAACAAAAGAAGGCAGAATTGATGGAACTTATAATGCATTGCTCATCAAGAAATTCGCCAAGATATCCAGAAGATAAGTCTTTTACACCTCCTCATGGAAATAAATAAAATCTTGCAGTTATATGCTCTCTGAATCCTGGTTGTTTCAAACTAGAATCTAAATGTAAACGAAACAGATTGTATAAAACTTAATCTTTTATCATCCAAATGCCAACTTACAAATGCCTAGGAGGAACTGATTTTCTTTTGCTCTTCAAGAGAAAAATAACTGATATTCATGTGCCTCATATATACTACAACTTTCTAATACTGAAGATGCAATCTTTTTCCAAAGGAAGGGAGTTTAAATTTAAACCTGCAAATAGCTAGCACATATATAGGTGAGGAGGAACTATTAAAATTTGACAACATGGATAGGTTTACAGTTACATTTGATCTATCTGTATATGTAGTTTCTGCCAACTACTTTTCAAAAGAAAATTGCTCATATTATGCGTAAGCTACTTCCTAGCTACTACTTTCTCACGTTCAAAAAACACCAGTAGGATCACCTATCTGATGGAAGAGGAATATCTACGAATCAAAATTGCAGAATGAGACTGTCATGGTTACAATGTATTGCATTCTGATTCTAAATTCTGCATGCTAAAAAGAAATTCACCCAAGATTCAAGAATTTACTAAAAGATTACAACAAGTACTCATAAGGAAAAAGTTGACATTATTTCTGGTTCTCTTCGTCAGCATGACTATAACATCCATTAGTAAATTTCATGACAAAATAGATAGTATACTTTGCTATTTTAGATGACTTCATGCTGATTACAGTGGGGTTTCTGCCCCCCAAGAATCGTTCTCATGTAAATTTAATAAAATTTCTTCTGATTCAAAAGAAATTTCATACACCCTCTACCGAAAAACTAAGAAAACAAAGAGAAACTAAGATTGACATTGATCATACCGTTAGCAAAGGAACAAGAAAGGCCCACCATAAAAGCAAATGAAACTGTGAACAGCCCAAGAATTAGAAAGTTCCAAGGATGATATTCGTGGCATGCAAATAGGAGGAACATAACTGTAAACATCAAAAAAATAAACCCAGTCGTTTAGCTTATAAAGCCATAATTCATCTATACAAATAATTATATAGAAAATAGGAAAGAAAGTATATATGTATATATATATATGTATGTATCCCCCAAAACCCTCAAAGCTTTCAATGAAACATCCAAAACTTAC